CACTAGTTTCGGATAGAACAGATAAAACTGGTTATGTCACAAAAGTTTGCTAAAGTTTAAGGTTTTAAATATCCAAAATATGCAACCCTTGAGACATAGTCGCATAGTAGAAGTAGTTTTTCGTGATCAGCAGTTCAAACAAGGATTTACAGGGCTGGAACCAATTTAAGATAAGTTGGTTTCGGGAAAGGTTCGCTTACTGAGATCAGATCTTAACCTTACCGAGCTGAATAGTGTTCAAAAAAAGTCGCTCATCTCTAATGAGTTCTCGTGTCAGACCAATGTTGAAAGTTTTATTGAGTACATAGAATGGCAAAAACAAAAATCATTGCTCGCCTGTCGAACAAGTCAACAATTCACAGACTTCATGACTAAGAGCTCTTAAACGTTTAATTTCATGTTTTCTGCCATGATCATTTGGAATTGCTAATTTCTCTTGCATATTTACATGTGATTCAACCCTTGCTTGTTGACAGTGTGGAAAATAGAGTTTTGTTAATTACATGTTCCAGCAAGTCTGTCGTCGAGATAAAAGATACGTTGGCGATGGATAACTTGAATATCATAACGATTCTCGTATTTAAATTTGTCGATTACAACACCAGTCGATAATATCCGTTGAATATAGTCAAATAAAGGCAATGATGTTGGATTTTGCGGGTCAAATTTTTGATTTAACTGGCAATTTAATAAATCACTTTCGTTCATTGGGATGCCATTTGACCTTATTTCATACAAGAATGAATTAGAATCGTTATCGGATAGTTGTTTGAATTCAAAACATTTGAACCATATTTTTGGTTGTTTTATGGCTTTCGTAAAGAAACCATCTTTTGTAAATTCAATTAAAATTTCATGTTGATCACGTTGATTTATGCAAAATACAAAAATATTATTTGTTTGAGGTTTTAGTGGCAATTCAATCCAAATTAATTTTAGTTTTATTCCAGTCGGTGATGTATCATAAGGCTCGAAAAAAGAAAGATGACAACATTTGTTATATAGGCTAAATTCAGCTAGAAGCAGAAGCGCATGTTTTATCTCTCGACTAGCTTGAACAATTGTCGGATTGTTGTTAAACAATCATATTAGCCAAAACCGTTCTGCTGTCTTACCCTTGAAACATCAGTAAAGTTATGATAAAGATATAACGGTAGTGCGTTCGATTAACCGACGTTTGAGCGACCGACACTTGACCGACCGACATTTGAGCGACCGACACTTGAGTGACTGACATTTGAGCGATTGACATTTGAGCGACCGACTTTTGAGGGACCGCATTTGAAGGACTCCAACAATTAAGCGAAGCGCAACACTTATAGCTGCGCACCTTTACCCCACACAGCCTCACCCTCTACAGATCTCCAAATAATTCAGTTCAAAATCGGATCACAAAAAGATTGTTCTCATCATCGTTATTAATTGTTATCGAAGTAAATAAGCATTCGACTTTCCTGATCGGCAAAACGTCATATTGGAAACTGTCTAATGTCGGTCGCTCAAATGTCGGTCGCCCAAATGGCGGTCGCTCCAATGTCGGCGCTCAAATGTCGGTCGCTCAAATATCGGTCGCTCCAATGTCGGCGCTCAAATGTCGGTGCTCAAATGTCGTTCGCTCAAATGTCAGTTGACGAGTGCGTTCGCCCGGTCAGCGGAAGGTGTGTGGTTCGATCTCACACTCGGGGGTATTCTTTTCTTTCGTTCTGTTGATACAACATCTCGCTGGTAGACCTGAGAGTGCATAATGCCATCCTCACAATTAGCTGACTTCAGTCATTTGGTTTTATGACTAGAATTAATGAGTTCTTCGTCTCGAAAAATGATTCTCATGAGAATGTTTTACTTACTCTTCCACTTCCCGGTCTCTAAGATAGTATCCATTCCACTGCGAAAATCAGGAATGTCAGTTGACGTGAATATACCAGCTCCTAAACAAACGATAGCAATTGAATCAAAAGATGCCACGCGCACACAAAAATACCGGTAAATTTAAATACAATAAAATGCTGACTCTCTTTGATCCAATTTATCATTCAAATTACGGGTAGAATCAAAATGTTCTTTCTTATTTTCCTGATCAGAAATGTCGTGTGCCATTTTGCTTTCTGTTGAATGAACTAGAAATTACTCAGAGAAAAACATTCGGCCATAATGCTACGATCATCAAACATATCATTGTCATTGGGACAATGTGAGTATCAACCATATTTCGAGAATGCAAATGAAATACCATC